ATATGCACCGTTTTCAAAGAATTAAAGATAAATCTGAGACTATCACAGGGAACTATACTAGCAGAACTTCTGTAAATTAAAGTACAGAAAATAAAATTAAATGGATAGTTGTAGTGGTAGATTAGGCACAGAGAAGCAGTAAACTAGAAGATAGATCTGTAGAAATTCTTATTTATGTAGACAAAGACAAAACGAAAAGATGAAGGAGAGGGTAAAAAAATGTGGATTTAACGTAATACTAATACTACATGTTTGACCATCAGAGTTCTAGAGGTAAGAAGAGAACACAGGAAACTATTTTAAGAGAAAATGAGAATTTCCCCAAATTGATAAAAGATATCAATTCATAGATTAAAGAAACTTAATCCAAGCAAGAAAAAGTAAACATCCACACTTAGACACATCAGTGAAACTGCAGAGCACCAAAGACAAAGAGAAAAATATATATAAAGCAGAGAGAAAATAACTTAAAAGAATTAACAGTTACTAAGAGATTCGATTCACCCAATAATGGAAACCAAAGTACATTGAAATTATACTTTGAAAGTGCTAGGGAGCACATTAAATAACTTCCAACATAGAATTCTATACTGAACCTATCTTTCAAGAATGAAGGTCATTAGCTAGCTGTGGTGGTGCATGCCTGTAGTCCCAGCTACTCAGGAGGCTAAGGCAGGAGGATCTCTTGAGCTCAGAGTTCAAGGTTGCAGCGAGTTGTGATCAGGCCACTGCACTGCAGGCTGGATGACAGAGTGAGACCCTGTCTCTTAAACAAAATGAAAGAATGAAGGTGAACCTCCACGTAGCTGAAAACATTAGTGGCAGCTTAGCTACCCATCTCCCAATATTTCATTGCAAAATAATGTAAAACACAAGAAGGAAAAAGTAAATCTATACGGAAAACACACTCGGCATATTTTGAAGTCAGAGTTTTGAAACTTCAAGCTGAATAAAATGAGAAAAGTCACCAAGTTGCTGCATGCACTCACAGGCACCCACACCCCAGGCTCTGTAGAATGAAGGCAGATGGAGATAAACTGCAGGAAGACAGAAGAGGGACACCAGCAAAAGGGCATAACATTCTAACCTTGGCCTGAAACTACTGCCAGAAAGACTAAATCCATCCAACTCTGAATGATCTAAAAAATGTGTCCAGGCAGATCAGAGCACACACTAGAGGGAAAGGGGTTCAAAGTGAACATAATTTAAAGGGGACAGGTGTGATTTAAAGGGGTGGTCTTTGAAACATAGCCTCTAGTAAAGCAAAGAAGTGAAAAAAATGAAAAGCACCTTTTGACAATTAGGGTGATGAAAGAAAATACATGCATAAGAGGAAAATTTAGAGTCCTGCTAGTCAAATGAGAACTATAAAACAACATTTACGACTCCTCCCCTTTGCCAAAACATACCAACAAAAAACCCCACTGAAGTACCTGAACTTTGCTCAGTTGACAGAAGAGATCTCAGCCGTGAGTATGAAAATATAAGTAACAGCTATGAATGAATATTGAAAAGGAAGAAATTAACTTGTCATTATTCGCAGATAATATGATCATGTATGTAGAAAACAAAAAGTAACCTATAGACAAGTTAGAAATAATAAGAAAATTTAGTTCCACTTCCAGCTATGTGTAGATTAGCCTGAAAGACATTCTCATCAGGAACAATTAGAAAAGCTGCATTTAAAAAATAAATAAATAAAACAAAACTGTTTGAAGGATTGGAGAACTACTAAGGTATGAAAAACTTACGGGATCAAGATCCTAGAGCAAAAGGAGTTGAGAGGTGAATGTAATAGTAAAATTTTTACCTTGGGGCATTTATTGGTTCATAAGTGGTGACTAAGAGGTTGAGACACGTGGCAGCAGAGAGGCCAGGCAAGAGGCAGAGAACCCAAGCAGAAGTTTTAGGCAGTATTGTTGGGCAGGGGAAATACAAGTTTAGCACCCTTCCCTGATAGGTTTGCTGGTAAACATGCTTCCAGTTAGGAAACTCGAATGGCTACACCTTAGAAGTAAGGGCTAACCAGAAATAGACCAATTTTAATAAAAGTAGAATCCCCCTTGGGATTAGTTCCCTCCCATTAGGTAGGGGCCGATCTGCCCCTACCTAAACTACCTGAAAGAAGCAGCAGTAAACTTTCTCTGGACAAAGATAACACCATCCAGAGCCTCAAACAATTATTACAAATTCACTATGATAGAATATGCGGAATCTAATCGAAATTACTTTCATTATCAAAAGACAAGATAAAGTGATAAAAGATCAAGGAAAAAATAGAAACTTCCTATGGGAGGTACAGATTTTTCAGTTATCAGAAATTTAAAAGTTACGGTGATGAATAAATTAAGAAAGTAGAAGACATGATGAATTTTAGCAGAGAATTAAAATATATTTAAAATTTAAATGGAGAATTTCATCTCTGGACAAGATGGAGTAGATGTATTTCTTTCTGTTCCTCCCACACAGCAAAGAACCTCATACATTATACATTAAACACACAAATGCTTCAAAAAGACTCAAAAAGGCAGAGAGGCCAGGCAAAAGGCAGAGCACCCAAGCAGAAGTTTTAGGCCCTATCACAGACTGGCTAGGGACCTCAGGATCTCAAGAACAACATGAAGGTGAGTTCCCTGGGTTTTCTTTTTGTCTCATATATCCCATAATGGGTGCTGGAGAAGCTGGCAAACCAGAGATGCCAAAGCATGCAGACAAGAAAACCTCAAAGGAGAGGCTTCTCTCTCTAGGCAAACAGGTAGCCTAGCAAGATAGAATACTTACAGGCAATAATTGCACTACTCTAGACAAATGCCAGAGAGAAAACGAAGGCCTATCTTTACCTCTTGTCAGCAAGGCTGAGTGAGGAGCCTAGAATTCCACCCCCATCTGGCTATAATGAAGCACCCCCCTCCACCTCTGAAGTGTCAAAGAAGGCCAAGGGGGGAGCCAGGACTTTCATCACTGGACAAGAGTAACAAGCCTCCCTGCCATGGTATCAGTGCAGGCCACATGGAGAGCAGTATCAAGGCACCCATCCCCACCTGAGGTATCAATGAAGGCCAAAGGAGAACCTGAACTTCCATCTGGAAGCAGCAAACATTCCCTGCCTTCCCCACTAGCACAGTGTCAGAGGAAGTCTGCTTACACAGAAGATTTAAACAAGATCCAGAATCTCATGACAAATACCTGCAATAGCAGGATGCAATTTTAAAAATCACTCATTATGCCAAGAACCCAGAAAATTTCAACTTGAGTGAAAAAAGACAATCAATGTACCCCAACATTAAGATGACACAGATGTTGAAATTATCTGACAAGGACTTTAAAGCAGCTTTAATAAAAAATAATGAGCAATTACAAACTTAGAACAAGTGATAAAAAGAGTCTCAGCAAAGACAAGATATAATAAGGAACTGGATGTAAACTTCAGATATGAAAAATACAATAACTGCCATAAACTCAGCAAATGGGCTCAACAGCAGAATGGAGGGGAGAAAGGAAAGACATACTTGCCTGTCAGTGAATCTGAAGACAGAATAGCAGATATTACCCAACCTGAACAATAGAAAATAGATTGAAAAAAAAAATTAGTAAAGCCTTGGGGATATGTGGGACTTTAACAAAAGATCTAGCATTCATGTCATCAGAGTCCCAGAAAACAGGAGAAAGAGTATGGGACAAGAAACGTATTTGAAGAAATAATGGCTGAAAATTCCCCAAATTCACCAAAAGGCATAAACGTGAGAATCAAGAGGCTGAGCAAATCCCAAACAGGATAGATCAAAGAAATCTACACCAAAACACATCATAATCAACTTGAAAGCAAAGAGAAAAGATACCTTAACTATAATGGAAAAACAATCCAAATGACAGCCAATTCCCTCGTCAGAAACTGTGGAGGCCACAAGGAATTGGCACATTTTTCCAGTGCTGACAAAAAGAAATTGTCAACCCTAGATTCTATATCTGACAACAACATCCTTCTGCAACGAAAGGAAATCAAGACATTCTTAGATAAAGAAAAACTAATAGAATATGTTCCCAGCTGACCTACTCTTTTAAAAAATGGCTGAAGGAAGTTCTTGAAACAGAAAGGAAATGATAAGAGAAGAAATCTTGGAACACCAGGAAGGAAAAAGAACAATGGAAAGAGTAAAATATTGGTAAATAGAGTGGGCTTTCTTCTAAATTTTGCAAATTATGCTTGACAGTTGAAGCAAATATTATAATATATCTGACGTGGATCTCAATAAGGTAGAGGAAATATTAAAAACAATTATAAATGAGAGTACGAGGAAGGACTTTATAGGAGGTAGCTTGTACACTTCACTAGAACCGGTAAAATGTCAACACCAGTAGAATGTGATAATACATGTATCTATAAAGGGTGGGTTTGGACTGCAGATTTGAGGGGTCAAGATGAGAGCATGTGTAAGCTTAGACATGGAATCTTAAATTGAAAAATTAAAAAAAAAAAAAAGATGAGAGCATGTGGAAGCAGTTAGCACACACACCGTCTAGATTTGGTGGCTGGAAAGGAAAGAGGGCTGAACTGTAATTACTGTAGACACAGGGGAAAACGGCCAGTGGAGGAGAGCGCACATGCCAGAGAGCGAGATGATGCAGAACAGGCCAAGGTAGGATGAAGGGACTGGCTATGGGAAGAAAGAGGCTGGCTGAAGATACCCTTTTGAGAGAAGATAAGGGAAATTGAGAGAGTTGTCTAAGCATGCCTCTCCTCTCAGTCATGTAGGCACCTTCTGAGAGAATGGATAAGCCAAGATGAGGGAGATGATGAGGGATCAGGGAGCAGAAAGCAGGCACGAACACAGGAATACCAACCTTTAGGGAATGTCAGGAGCAAAAGCTAAAGTTTTCAGTCCCGCTACCCAAAAGCTGCAAAATAACAAATTGACCACCAGGTGGCGGTGTCCTTGGAGTCTCGCATCCCATCGGCCCCGGAGTACAGGGCGGAAGAAGGCGCGGAGGTGACTCTCTGGCCCGCATCGCCTCTACTGCCCTATCCCGACTGACGTTGGACAACAAAAATGGCGGCAGGAACCAGCAATTACTGGGAAGGTGAGGGCGAGGAGGCCTCCGGGTGGGTCCCGCGAGAGTCAGAAGGGCTGAGTGAGGATGGATCTTGGGAGAGGCAGCAGAGGAACGAGCCAGGCTTCCGGAGCGGTTTTGCTGAGCAGGGGGGCTTGCCTAGTGGGAGCCCTGGGGCCTGGGGACTGAGGAGACCGAACGGTCTGGGGCAGGAGGCTGGCCTGACTGGGCTCTGTGAGCGGGACCTGGGACAGGCGTCGGGCACAGTGGACAGAGTGGGGATAGAGAGGAAGAGGGAGCTGAGTTGTCGGGTTGAGGGGAGTGGAACTTGGCTTGGGGTATGAACTCTAAGAGGAAACGAGTGTTGAGTGAGAAGATCTCGAGCCCGGGAGACTGGAGGAGTCAGCGCTTTGGAGTTGAGGTCACTGTTGCTAAACTGAGTGGGAAAAGAGAAAGGAGGAACTTGTCAGTACGGTCCATGGGGGGAGTATGAGCCTAATGTCTCCTTCTGGGTCCCCATAGTAACTTAAGGCTGGGGGACTTCGAGGATTAGGTGTTCAAAGACAAAGAAAATAACTTTACCTTCTGTTCTGGGATCTAGGATCGGTTGTGTTAAAAAGAGAAAGTTGAGAGAACCTGTGTGAATTGTAATAATTACATTTGCTATACCTCTTCCACCAAAAATGCCTTCTTGTGATTTGACAAGTGCATTTATTTAATTCCTGAAAATGTGGTCCAATAAAGTGTGCTCATGTAAAACTTAATTCCTAACCATGGTGATCAACAAGATCAGAAAACGCTCACCTTTTTCTTTCAACTGTCTCTTTCCTCTACTGCAACATAGAAACTACTTTCCAAATCCCTTTTCCCCCTTCGACCTAGTACCTGTTGGTACCCACTCTAATGCCTCTATCAGCCACTTGGTCTAAGACTGTTAATTCTAAGTTCATCCTTCCTTCCTGTTGTACTTTCAAAATGCTTTTACTTATGTTTTCTTTTAGAGAAGACAGTTACTAAAATTACAGAGAAGCGTGCTTGTAGTTTTAAAACATGTATTAAAATGCCCATTAGAAATGTGTGTATTAACTAGAAAACATTTTAAATTGTGCAGAATTTAGCAGATATTTGCTAGTGTCTTTAATGCTAGTCATTAGGCTATGGTTTTTTTTTTTTTTTGAGGCATCATGCTGAGATAGTTACTGCAGTTCATTATTGACAGCCTACTCTGCGCCAGGTGCCTTAAGCATATGAGTACTAATGCATAGAAAAACCCTGAAGGTAGGGTTTTAAAAAACAAAAAACTGAGGTATATGGGTTAAGTAGATTGTTGATAAATCTTGGAGTCCATAAGTGGCCACACTGATATTCGAACTGGGATTTGGAGCAAATATGTTCCACTATGATAACTCTGCTTCCTATGTCTGATTGCAGGGTATATTGAAATAGTGTTTTGTATTCCTTATCCCTGAGAAATTCTTCTTATATTTCAGCCCTTTTATTTTAACCTTCACTTCACCATGAATAAATGAGAATCTATATATGGGTTTCCAGACTGGGTTCACTCATGCAACCACTTAGATGCCAAACTACTGTACCAATTTCTTTGCTTCCTTGTTTGCTTCTACTTGTAAAACTTATACTCTTATTTCTGTCATACTCATATACAACCTTGTTAGTAGCGCATTGTTTATTGTTAGTTTCAGCTCTCCAAATTTCTTTCAGTGAGTTTACTAAAAGGCATTTTTTTAATTTTTGTTAATGGTAATTTACTTTTTCTTTATGCTCAATTGTTAAATCATTTTAATATTATGAAAAGAGGTTCATAAGCCTAATAAAGACAGCAAAAGCAGAGCACAGTGACTCATGCCTATAATCTTAGCACTTTGGGAGGTTGAGATGGGAGGATTGCTTGAGACCAGGAGTTTGAGACCTCATCTCTATGATAAATAATAAAAAAAATAATATTAGCCAGGTGAAGTGGCTCTTGTAGTCCCAACTACTTAGGAGGCTGATGCAAGAGGATTGTTTGAGCTCAGGAGTTGGAGGTTGCAGTGAACTATGATGATGCTACTGCCATCTGGCCTGGGCAGTAGAGCAAGACTGTTTCAAGGAAAAAAGAAAAGATAGCAAAACCCATCTGAAAAACAATAATGGTTTCTCATAGCGTTAAACTGATAAGTTTATATGGTGGTGGTCATAAACCATATTCAGTTCCTTTGTGATTTGTATTCTCTTCTTATTTTCTTGTGAATTACAGAATTTTAGTTATTGGTACAGAAATAATTTCAGGGATGCTAGAACAACATTAGTTGTCTAGCTGTCTTTGGAATAAAGCTAAAAATTTGTGTCTCCCACTGCTACTTTCCATCTTGCCCCATTTGAAGTATAAATAAGTGACTAATTTGCTTTCCTAGGCAAGTCCTTGGTTTCTTCCTATTAACACTTTTCTACATGGAAGGAACTAGATCAATATGTGATCATTTTCATAGTTTGCTTTCTTCAGAATAGTCTTATGATTTTCATGCATGCTGATGGACTTTTCATGTCTAATTATTTGCTTTTATTGTTAAAGATCTCAGGAAACAGGCTCGACAGCTGGAAAATGAACTTGACCTGAAACTAGTTTCCTTCAGTAAACTATGTACAAGTTACAGTCACAGCAATGCCAGAGATGGAAGACGCGACAGGTATAGGTACTACCAGATTCTGTCTCTTATGCCTTAAAGTATATAATGTTTTTAAAGCACTAAAAAAACCAAACCAAAACAAAACAGAACAAAAACCCTAAAATATATAACCTCTGTAACCTGGTCTGTTGATGAATATTTTGGTCTTTTATTTTCTTTGTCATTGTTTTATTTTTTTAGTGACTTATTAAAATTCCTCCTAATTCTTGAGACTAGCATTAACTGTATTCCTTAGACAAAGATTGTGACATTGTCAGGAGGAAACTACTAGGGCTTAGGAATGAGTTTGTATCAAAAATAGGAGTTTTTAGTTTGGCCATTGTAAGGAAATGTGGGTGATTTGCCCACATTGTATTTCTTGTGTTTTCTTATTGCTAAATGGATTTGAGAACTACCCAAATGCAAAGCAGTATGTATATACTGCTATTCTAGTGGTTATTCTGTTAGAATGGATCTAAGGCATTCCAGGACAGTGTATATCCTTGCTATTAAGCATCGAAACTATTTTTAATTTTTGGTAATATTTTTAGAAACTAGCATATTACTATATAGAAAAAAATCTTATCTTTGAATCTTATGCTCTCTTTAAGTCATCTGCTTTAAAAAAAAGTATTAGGAGATATTTAAGACACTTAGAAAGGTATAAAGAATAATATAGTGGACCTGCATGTGCCTATCTTCCATTTTAAGAAATAATCGTTACCAATTCTGTTGAAGCCCCTTATGGCATCCCACTTTATCCCTCCCCATAACCACCATGTTTTTACTACATATGTTTATATTACTAAGCAACTAGTAGTATCCTACCATAGTTGTTTTGCAACTTTTTTGTTTAACATTGTTTTTGAGATTCAGCTGTAGATACATTTAACTCTGATGTATTCATTTGCTATATATAGTATTACATTGTATGACTGTATAACATTAAACAGTTAAACCATTTGATGGATAGACATTGTTTCTGATTTTTGCTACCTAATAATTTATATTAATAGTAGACACAGAGTGTTTACCGTATGTCATATACTGTTGTAAGAGCTTTATATAAGTACCGCTGGAAACATTTTTGTACAGAAAGTTTCTATGTACCTAGTAGAGAAATTGTGGATAGCAGAGTTGTTGTCAATCCACATTTATTTTATATACTTTTTCCAAGATTAGTGATGCATGGGATACTTTTCAGCTAATAATAAAAACAACAAAAATGGCTTGGATTTTGATCTAGGTCTTTCTGTCTCCAGAGCTCACACCCTGCTATATTATATGCACACTGCCACAAAGGCTCATTTCAACACAATCGCCAAAGTATTATTTCTTTTCATTAAGGGCTTATTGGTTGTAAAGATATTCATAGCAGGGCCAACATATTGACTCCAGGATCTAAAGACAAGTTATAAGCATGTCACATAGATGTCATTGCAGTGTATTGCTTTGGGCTTACCTTTATTTAGCAAATAAAGATAATAAGGAATGTTCTATCAGTAAATTTATTTTATGATTGGGAAGCATTTTCTGTATTCTCTGTGCTTCATGAATTTCATACTTTTATTACTCCTTTAAAAGAAACACAATCTTGAAAACATTTCCTAAGAAATTCTGCTACAAATTGGGACTGACTTTATAGAATTACTTCAGCCTAACTGTCCCTTTATATAAAATACTGAAAGTCATGAAGATAAAGATCCAGCATGCATTCTAAAGTGTTTTGTTTGATGCCCAGGTTGAAAGCATGTCACAGTGGATAAACAAAGAGATGACCAGACTTTTTCTCCCAGGAATCTTTTTTTTTTCCACTTTTCTGTATTCTGAGAACTTAAAGGCCTATGAATCAGCACACACCTATTAAATGAATTAAATTTAACTGAATCATAGAGAATAAGTTTTTGGCCATTTCCCTTGACTCATATACTATCCTGATAATGGTGAATATGGAATAACCAGTAATAGAGATTGCTTCCTCATTCATTCATCCATTCAACAAATACTTAATGAGCATCAGCCACATCCCAGGCACTGTACTAGGTGCTAGGCATATATCTATGAATAAGACAGAGGCAATTTCTCCCTTCATGGAGCTTTCATTCTGTTGGCCCATTGTTCTTTTTCATATAACTAGTAGGGGAGGATCTGTATTAGTAGTATACAGAGCATTTTTGCCTTGGCTTTTGCCTGGGTTCTAGGAAATAACTACAGCACCTTGGGTTGGCTCTGACACAATAAAGAATTAGGTATTTTGATATCATATTTTAGGGCAAGTAAATTAAAATATTTCAAGAAGAAATAAAGCTTCAGACCTAATTAAACATCTTAAAATAAAAATCCTCCTTTTTAGTTACTTTTTGGCTATCTACCACTAGTTGTTATTACTGTGGAATTATACACAGAGGAAATGGGAAAATGGTGGTAGCCAAGGTACTTTTTGACATTGAACTGGTGGTTTAATCTGTTTCATTTCCCCACCCAAACACTGTCACAGGGCAAGACAAAGTCTTCAGTAAGATTGGAGAGCATAGTCATTGCCTGGGCATTTGTCTGTGTCCAATATAACTCAGAGTTGTATTGAGCTACTTGTATGATAATACATACCACTTGGGGACCTGATTTAGGTTAGTGGTTTTTCAAAAGAGGCAAAAGAAACTTTCAGGTTTTAGAATTAGAATCTGTCAAACATAAATTTCAGGTGTAAAAAGTTAGATTTTTGACTTCAGATTGAAGAAGACAATTGACATTTTTTTACAAAACAAAAAGATGATTGTATATTATAAGCAGAAATGTAGAGGCTTAGTATTAAATACTAAAATATATTGGACATGGCTAGAGAGAGAGGGAACTTAAAGCAAGTTCCCCATCATTCAATAACTTGTTATCCAATATGTGGATCTTTTAATTTCAATTTTATTTCTTAGTAAGAGTCAAGGAAAGAAGAGAGAATTTAAGGTCTAAGGGACCATACTTCCTTTGGGATAAAAATTTAAAGGATTATTCCTCACAGGCCCCATAACATGATCCATAATTCATTTTCTGGTTTCTTTTATATGCTGTGCTTTATAGTTCTATAGTTTTATTTTGCATAATTTGTTATTTTAGACTCATAGTTTAATTGGGCACTGCCATAGCATTAGTTACTTTCTACCATTTGGGAAACAGTAAACAAACATTTGGAATTTTTTTGATGTTTTTAAGGTTTGATGTATTAAAGCTTAAGAAAATCTTATATTCAATTATATTTTATACTGAATTTAATATTATAGGACATGTGTGATCTTTATAGAAAAATTTCTATAAAATCATAATTTCTTAAGAAATAGAATGTCTCAGAGGTTTTACTTGATCTCTTCAAGAATAATTACTTTAAGAATATTTTAAAGGACTGTATTTGAGTAATGAATTCCCTTTAATTGAACTTCTCTTTAGTTCTGACACAACACCACTTTTAAATGGATCAAGCCAAGACAGAATGTTTGAGACTATGGCAATTGAGATTGAACAGCTATTGGCAAGGGTAAGTGGTTTCTGTTAAATAGTTATTTTGCTAATAGCTGTGTACTTACTAGATATGGTACTGGATTATACTAAGACAGACGTGTTTATTGAAATCACCCATTCATTCAAGATAGTATACCTGCCAGGCTACTGGAATTATGATGACTGCCATTCCTAGGTAATATAAGTATTATTTTAGCCTTTATGGATTATTTGGGGGAAATGCTGAATCCTTACCTGGTATCTTGTTGTTGTTGTTTTTGCTGTTAGCCAAAAGGGCATTTAGATAAATAATTTGCTTTTAGCTGTTCACAGTGCTTTCTAAAATATTTTACTGTTTTCTTTTTTCTTTCTAGCTTACAGGGGTAAATGATAAAATGGCAGAATATACCAACAGTGCAGGTGTCCCCTCCTTGAATGCAGCATTAATGCATACATTACAGCGACATAGAGACATATTGCAGGTAATATACTGGGCTTGAGACTTTTATGTTGTCACAGGAGGTTTCTTTGTCTTTTTGTTTTTTTAATTCCTGGATAAGATATGTACACATGTATTTAAAAGAACAAAAAGAAAAATTTTCTGTGAAAATAAATAGCGTGCTTTAGAAATTCTGAAAATGTCTAATAGCTCTTGCTTTTTCCTGATGAAGTTGAGTTATATTCATCATTAGGTAAATATACTTCTACTCTGGGAAACCTAGCTAGCAAGTTGTAAAAATGAAATAACCAGTGGTCATGCATAGGCAATAATATGATGGTTTGGAGTATATTTTTATCAGGATTCGAAGATAACATGGAAGGAGAATAATTTGCTGTATTTAGTATATTGTTTGAGAAAATATTAAAAGTGTATGTAGGCCGGGCGCGGTGGCTCACGCCTGTAATCCTAGCACTCTGGGAGGCCGAGGCGGGCGGATTGCTCAAGGTCAGGAGTTCAAAACCAGCCTGAGCGAGACCTCATCTCTACCATAAAAATAGAAAGAAATTAATTGGCCAACTAATATATATAATATAAAAATCAGCCGGGCATGGTGGCTCGTGCCTGTAGTCCCAGCTACTTGGGAGGCTGAGGCAGGAGGATTGCTTGAGCCCAGGAGTTTGAGGTTGCTGTGAGCTAGGCTGATGCCATGGCACTCACTCTAGCCTAGGCAAGAAAGCGAGACTCTGTCTCAAAAAAAAAAAAAAAAAAAAAAAAGTGTATGTACCAATAAAACTAAGTAAGTTCTTAAACATTTATATGAGAGGGGGTTATTAAAAATATAGTAATACAAGTAGGAAGGCAAATTAATATTGAGAAAATTCAGCAACCATTTCTAATTTTTAAAACTTTTTAAAAATAGGAATAGAAAGATACTTGATTTAATGCAAAAATGTGTATATTCAGTTAAAAGCTAGAATGATGTTTAATGGTAAAGCACTAAAAGCATTCCCATTGAAAAAAAACAATACCAGTATACCCTCGATCACCACAAATGTCTAACATTGTTTTGGAAGTTCTTTGTGTTGCAATTAGACAGTAAAAAGAAATGAGATATAGACATGAGGAAATAAGAGGCACAATTTCTATTATGTGGCAGGCTAAGATTATATGTCTAGTATACCTTAGAGAATTAACTGAAAAAAAGTTACAAACAAATTCAGTAAGATCATGGATTAGAAAATTAATATATAAAAGCAAATAGTTTTCATATATACAAACAATAACTGGTTAGAAAATATAATGGAAGAAACTATAAAATCGTTGCATACAAATTTAATAAGAAATGTGTAGAACTTGTTTGTATAAAAGTCTACTGAGGGACATAGAAGAAGACTTAAGTAAAGAAAAGAATCACTCTGCTTTTGGATGAAAAAATTTCCCTCTAAATCAACCTATAACGTGAATGCTATCCCAGTGGAAATAACAGGGGCTTTTTGTTATTTGTTTCATTCTTTAAAAAATGGCAAAGTAACACCAGAGTTCATTTGGAATCATAGACATACAAGAACAACCAAGAAAAATAATCTGAAAATGAAGATAAGTAGTAAAGGGGGCCTAGTCCTACCAGATCTTGAATGTGTTAAAAAGCTAGAATAGTTAAGACATTTTGATGCTAGAGAAAAAAATATGTCAATAGAAAAGAATAGAGTCCAAGTATAGACCCAAATGTGTATGGAAATTCAGTTTCTGATAAAGGTGCTGTTTAGTGGAGCAAAGAGAAATTATAAAGTAAATATAACTGTAACAACTGGCTAATTATTTAGGACAGAAAAAAAACACCTCAATTTCAAGCCTCACATCCAGAATAAATTCCAAAAGGATCAAAAATTTATTTGTAGAAAAAGAAACCATAAAGTTTAGAGTAAAGCATAAATGAAATTTATAAATTTATGAGTGGTAAAGGACTTTTGAAGCAAGATTTGATACCGGAAATTATAATAAATGACTAATTTGCTAAATATACATAGAAATAAGAAAAAGACAATAAGAAAATGGTCAAAGGATGTGAACTTGCATACAAAAAAATGAATAACCAAAACCATAAAAAGGTGTTCAGCCATATTCCCAAATAAAAAATACACATCAAAATGAGAAATGAGGGCCGGGCGCGGTGGCTCACGCCTGTAATCCTAGCTCTCTGGGAGGCCGAGGCGGGCGGATTGCTCGAGGTCAGGAGTTCAAAACCAGCCTGAGCAAGACCCCGTCTCTACCAAAATATAGAAAGAAATTAATTGACCAACTAAAAATATATATACAAAAAAAAAATTAGCCGGGCATGGTGGCACATGCCTGTAGTCCCAGCTACTTGGGAGGCTGAGGCAGGAGGATCCCTTGAGCCCAGTAGTTTGAGGTTGCTGTGAGCTAGGCTGACGCCACGGCACTCACTCTAGCCTGGGCAACAAAGCGAGACTCTGTCTCAAAAAAAAAAAAAAATGAGAAATGATTTTTCATCTGTCTGATTAGCAAATATTGAAACATCTATAACCCATTAATGGCAAGAGTATAGAAAAATAGGCACTCATATTGTTGGTGGGAACATAAATTGGTATCTTTTTAGAAGGTAATTTAGCACTCTCAGAATTTAAATGTAAGATTCTTTGATCCAGTTATGCTATTGCTAGGCATTTACTCTTTAAATATGCTTTTTTAAAAAAAGAATTCAGTAATATAGGTACCAGAATGTTTATTACAGCATTTTTTTTTTTTGAGATAGATTATTACTTTTTTGCCTGGGCTATAGTATAGTGGTGTCATCATACCTCACTGCAATCTCAAATTCCTGGGGTCAAGCAATTCTCCTGGCTCAATCTCCCAAGTGTTTGGAACTAAAGGCATGTGCCACCATGCCCAGCTAATTTTTCTGGTTTTTTGACAAGATCTCACTATGTTGCTCAGGCTAGTCTTGAACTCCTGGCCTCACCTTAGCTTCTCAAAGTGCTAGGATTATAGGTGTGAGCATCTGGCCTGCAGCATTTTTTAATAGCAAAAAAAATGAAAGCAACTAAAATGTTTATCAGTAGAGAATTTATTAAATTAGGATAGTTATAAGGTAATATTATATATAGCTATTAGAATGATATTGATTTCTATTTCCTATTATGGAAAGATTGATATTTTTTGAACTACAAAAACCAAGGTATACATCAGAATGTATAGTATGATCTATGTGGCAAAAATTAAATGATAGATAAACTTATATACAAAAACATTTTGTGAAAGAAGACACAAGAAAGTAATGATAACAGTTATGAGCTGTGGAGAAGAATGTTTGTTTCACCTTTATTTCTTTTGGTGCTCTTTTAATATTCTCCCCATATTTATGTGTTGTTTTTATTTTTAAAAGGTCAATACAGGCTTTCTGAGAGATTGGGTTTTGATTCTGTTTTTAGTTTTCTTTGAATTTTAAAAATAGTAATGAATATTCTTTAATATCTTTTAAAAATGCAGTAGTACAAAAATAAAAGAAAATATTTAAAGATTATTTTGTTCTTTTTTGGGGGGGAGTTACTTTTTCCTTTTTTTTTTTTGTTTAAACAAATGTGCACTATAATGTTTCAACAAGTAAGGCAAATGCCATGAATATGAAAGCTCTACTTTGCAATATACCACATCTAGAACCCAGGGGAGGTGAATTAGACAGAAGTGCTAGTCATTGTAATTAAACAATCAGGTCACATCATGGCAAGTTGGTTTGCAGCATCAAAATTGGCCATTTAAGTTTCTTTTTTCTTGATGATCAGAGGTCCCACGTTGTCTCCGGTCTCTTTGTTGTGTTTTGTGTGAGCCCCATCACAGAATGGGAACCTTTTGGATCTCCAACAACGACAGTACACAGCTTTATCTCCCAAATCCTCCATGTCAAAAGCATGTACTACCTTGGGGTTGTCTTTCTGGATGTGAAGGTTTACCATTGCTTTATTGCGATGATCTTTAACATAAAATCTTTTGTAAGCTAGACAACCGAGTGCAGCTGTTCCAGCAGCAATGGTAGCTGCTGCGATCCATTCAACTCGTACACTGGAACTGGTCAGACTCATGGCGCCGTTGCTTGCAAGGAGTGTGCACAGGACACTGGGCACAAACCGGCTCCTATTTTGTTCTTTATAATTCTCTTGGTTCTGTTCTTTTTTGCTTAATTTGGGAATTAAATTTTTGTGCAAGCTCCAAAAGAATGAAATTTGAAAGTAAGCCCCATTAGGTATGCTATTGAATAGAAAGAGCCTCCCAGGTTTTATCCTAGGCTATTTGAAGTCATTTTATCTTAGAATTTTTCTTTATAATTCTACCTCATAAGGTACTAGGAGACACAAAGGATAGTGATTTAATGGCACTGTTACCCTGGCAATGAATTGTTTCCATTTAAAAGAAGTTGGTCCCTCTTCAGGAAAGTAATTATAAAGTTATTTTTACCTTTTGGCAATTTGATTTCTTAAATAGCAGTTTTCTTGACAGAAATTTACAATGTGATGACAATACATAACTGCTTCAATGAGATGAAAATATATTATTAGCTTATGTTGAGACTGGATGTTGATTTATTACAGGATTATACTCATGAATTCCATAAAACCAAAGCAAACTTTATGGCAATACGGGAAAGGGAGAATCTCATGGGATCAGTACGAAAAGATATTGAGTAAGTTACTTTTTTATTATTTTGTAAAATATTCAGATTTAGTTTTAGAATATGTCTGTGGTTAATTGCAATTAGAGTAGCAAAACCATGAGTTAGATTTCAGGGTTTCTAATTCCCATTTCACTGTTTTTTTGAACATTTCTGCTACAACGTCATCCTAATCTACTTTGCCAGTCTGATCTCCTGCTTCCAATATTTTTATTGTTGGCTCCTGCCAACCTTGACTTTCCTGTCTTAATCCAAAATTCAATTTAGATGGTATCTTCATGAGTTCTTCTCTAATCCGTTATCACTCACCCTAAGAATTACAATATTACCAATAACTGAAGCTCTCCATATTTCCCTTTCTTGATTACCACCTATCCCTGCCCCTCTCCCTTGTCCTAACAATTATAATTCAGATAGCTATTAATATAATTGTCCTAACAATTATATATTCAGGTAGCTATTAACACAGCCTTTACTTTCCTGAAATTCTGAAATACGGGTTTTTTTCCAGATTTAATACAAACTCATAGCCTTCGTCAAATTATTTGACTCCCAACATTTTAATGCTGACCTCAATCTATAATTTTAAAGATTTGTTCTTTTCTTCTGTCCCTTCATCTAATCTTCAATGATATATTCTAGCATTTCGTATACATTTTTGAAATTTTTTCACAGCTGAACATGACTGATAAAATTAAGTCCCATGAGCATCTAATTGAAACTAAAGACTTTCTGATTTTGGACCCTCTAAGGATACCTGTCATTGTCTCACTTGTGATAAGTTTATGTGACAAATTTCATAAACTATGATATATATTTATCATAAACTGATACATATTATGTATACATCAAGAAAAATAAAGAGATCCTTTATTTTGTTGGAACAGTAAGACACTTTTAGCAGTAAGGAAGTTGTAATATTTTTAATTCTTCAGGACAAGCAAGTCTTTTGTTTCATTTCTGTACCGTTGACTTACATATACATTTTGAGGAGTGCATTGAAAAACCAGTATAGGGGATGGCCTTTAATGTGTGGACATTTAGCTCCCCCACAATTTGTGGGGATCACTAGAATGCAACCTACTGTCATAACTTGGTTTTTGTAAAATGATCATTAAAAAATGTTCATCTATTCATTACACTATTTCCAGACCAACTTTGAGTCCCAGTAGCAGGTAGAAATGAAAAGAACAACTCGGCCCAGTAGGAGCTTATAATCTAGTGCTAGAGATGAGTAAGGCACATACTCAAATTAGTATCATATAAGGCAGATAAGTGAGATGAACTATAGTAATAATACCTAACATTTTTATAGGTGTGTTTTTTGGTTTTTTTTCAATTTACACAGTATTTTTCCATGTATTATCTTTTGGCTTCATAACAATCTTCTGGGTAAGATAAAAATTATTAGTCTCATAACTTGTCTATGGTTAAGTGGCTATCAAATGATTCAGTATAGATTTAAATCCATGTCATCAGTCTTCCAAGTACAGTGGGTTCTTGATTATATTCTGCTTTTCTTAGTGGTGTTTTCTCCTGTACTTTGCACAGTAGCACCACCTCTTAGCCAGCATTTCAGTTTTAGCAGCATGACCTTCTTTGGTCTTACTGCAGTATTTATAGTTACTTGAATTTTTAAAATTTTTTCTTGATACTTTATTATTAGTGGAAAACAGAAAAAGTAAAGTGTTGATAGTACCGTGTTTCCCTGAAAATAAAACAGGGTCTTATATTTATTTTTCCTCAAGAAGACACCTTAGGGCTTATTTTTAGGGGATGTGTTAATTTACCCTCAAAGCCTCAGCTTGCAGCACACACAGGATGGCCGGGACCTGACAAGGGGAGCCAACCTTATTGGTGGGGCTGCCCGCACCTTTCCGGTCACTTCTGGGATAGTAGCTGTCACAATGGGGGAGATGAGAAGGGCTATTGGTCTTCTTTACCACTCTGCGACGAAATGCATGGGTTGTGCAGATATGCTGCATAGCCACACCCATCACTAGGTCTTGTTTTGGGGGTAGGGTTTATATTTCACAAATGCTTAGAAATCCTGCTAGGGGCCGGGTATAGTGGCTCACGCCTGTAATCCTAGCACTCTGGGAGGCTGAGGCAGGCAGATCACTCAAGATCAGGAGTTCAAAACCAGCCTGAGCAAGAACGAGACACTGTCTCTACTATAAAAATAGAAAGAAATGAATTGGCCAACTAAAAATATATATATAGAAAAAATTAGCCGGGCATGGTGGCACATGCCTGTAGTCCCAGCTACTTGGGAGGCTGAGCCAGGAGGATCGCTTGAGCCCAGGAGTTTGAGGTTGCTGTGAGCAGCAAAGTGAGACTGTCTCAAAAACAAAAAAGTAATCCTGCTAGGGCTTATTTTATGGGTAGGTCTTATTTTCAGGGAAGCACAGTAGTAATAAAAAGCATTTTTTGTATATTTTAATGTGCTGAAGACCAAGATAGAAATCCTTAAGTGTACCAAAATTGACAGATCCTTAGCTTCATTTAAGTGTTCCTTAGGCTCCAGTTGATGGACTAAATGTACTATTGTGAAGGGAAACATCCCATTTCAACAGATTTCCCACAGCAAACTGTTAGACCTAAACTGTTGGTAAAACTATGAGGTCTAGAGAGGCATTTATATTTATCCATTTATAATACATAACATGTTTTAGAGGGAAATGAAAAGGAGTATACATTTTAATTGTTCATTCAAAACTATGGATAGGCTCAATTTATCTACTTTCAATGTCTCTGTGGTCAGTCATTTAATCTGTTTGTGTTATCTGCCAAAAATGTTATTAAATTTTATCTTTTTTATCCTAGGTCATATAAAAGTGGGTCTGGAGTAAACAACAGAAGAACTGAACTATTTTTAAAAGAACATGACCACCTTCGAAAGTAGGTATTATTGAATGTATACATCTTACGTAGTTTTCCATGTTTATTAATTCATTTACTTTTGTAACAAACATTTCATGGTGTTTATTATAATAAGTGCTTTATCAATGATAATTCATTTATTTCTCCTAATAACCCTTTTCAATACAAATGGAATTGCAACCATAATTAAGAAAGATATTGTGCTGTTGAGTATTTCACATCATTTAATCGTTACCTATGTTTTTTATTGTCTTAATATGTTCTTTTCTCTAGCAAATCTATTGCTCTAATGGTTTTGTTCACTACTACAGGTTATTAGTGATAATAGTAATAATTCTGATAATGACTTATGTTTGAATGGCTTGTTACCATGCGTATATGATGAAACTTTATAAAGAGTAATTAGGGGCTGGGCGTGGTGGGTCACACCTGTAATCCCAGCACTTTGGGAGGCTGAGGCAGGAGGATCACTTGAGACCAGGGATTTGAGACCAGCGTGGGCAACATAGCAAGACATGGTCTCTACAAAAAATTTTTTTAAAAATTAGCTGGGTGTGGTGGCATGTACTTGTAGTCCCAGCTACTCGGGAGACTGAGGTAGAAGGGTCACTTGAGCCCAGAAATTCAAGGTTACAGTGAGTTGTGATCAGGCCACTGCACTCAAGCCTGACCAATAGAGCAAGACCCTGTATCTAAAATAAAAAAACATCACACTCGAGCTTCTATCTAAAAAGAAAAAAGAAAAATAAAAATAAAATAAAAAATAAAATAAAAAAACAGAAGAGTAATAGTAGACCAATTACCAAATTCCTCCTCCCCCCAAAATTTTAGTTTTCAAGATTTCAGAAGAAAATACCTAAAAACCTGGATGAACTCTGTATATATTTTAAAATAATATAGTCATCATATTCTATTCTGCTTCATCTATTTTTCTCTGAAATATGCTGGTTTCTTTGCTGTTTGCTTTGTATTTTGTTATAGAATTTAAATGTCAGAAAAGTACTTATAACTGTGAACTCAGCCTATAAGAACCTGAGCAGCTTTTATCTATGATAGTTAAGTGTTAGGAATTATGTTGATATTTGCTACTGAATGTCATAAATTCATCATGTCATATGAGCTTAAATGTACTGTTTTTTTCCTTAAAGATTAGCACTTTAAATATAAGCTGTTGAGGCTGGGTATGGTGGTTCACACCTGTAATCCTAGCACTCAGGGAGGCCAAGGTGAGAGGATTACTTAAGGCAAGGAGTTTGAGACTATCCTGAGCAAGAGTGAGACCCCATCTCTACAAAAAATAGAAAAATTAGCTAGGTGTAGTGGCGTGTGCCATAGTCCCAGCTACTTGGGAGGCTGAGCAGGAGAATCACTTAAGCCTAGGAGTTTGAGGTGCAGTGAACTGTGATGATGCTGCTGCACTCCAGCCCAGGTGACAGAGGGAGACTCTGTCTCAGAAACAACAAAAAAACTCTCTCTATATATGTGTGTGTATATATATATAAGCTGTTGAAATCAAAGCACAGAACGATCAAGACTTTTTTAGAAGCCTGGGTGCTTCTAGTGTTGGAGCTGGTTATTGGTGTTCTTAATCTGTTCAATATTATTGTTTGGCACAAGGGGGCAGTCTCTTCTAAAGTATGTTTAGTTTGTAGTATTCATAGCTTTGGTAGTTCGTTTTGTATTTGATAAAGACCACCATAAAAAGTATTTTGCATTGCATCAAAACTATGTTAATATATTCTTGGAGTACACATTAATTTAAGGGATAGCATATTCAAGTAGCAAAAAATAAAGGTTAGATTGTATCAATGTATCTATATTTATTGCCTTAAAAAGAAGTTAAACAGAAATATAGTAGTTTACTTTAAAAAGAATGATTTGATACTAAAGAGTATACCAGAGTTATTTCATACATTAATTTCATTATTTGAGAACACATTGTATATTATAAACTTTTATATGAATTTTGCAGAAAGGTTTGCATTTATTTTAATTATTCACAGTAAGCCCTCAGGAGTTTAGGACAGTAAAAATGATGAGAGGATGGAAATCAAAAGGTATTTTTCCATTTTTGCTTGATCAAAGTACAAAGTCTCAGATTATATGTAATATACTTTATATATTCCTTTCAACATTCTTGTGAAAAAGTTTGCATGTGCTCATTCTATACAGAGACAAACTGAGGCTGGATGAAGCGGAATGGAATATGAGCTTCTGATGAATTAGAGGCATTATTGAGATTAAAAACAAGGACTTAGTCATTGCTGTCAACATTAGAACACAGAACTTTTAAATACCTTTTTAAAAAATTGATCTTTTTGTTTAAATTGCAAATACTTCCTAGGTAATAAAATAGCATAAAATTATTGTGTGAAATATGTTTATAAAATAATATGAAAAACTGCTCTGGTTTTTCAGTGTTGTTTGTATTTCATTTGCTGAGTGTTTGAGGAAGAATTGGCTAGATTTTTTTTTAATAACCTTTTTTAAATAAGAAAAGTCATAAGTATTCTTTATAGTGCTCATTTTAGAAAGCAAGAATAGTTCAACAACACAAAGATAAAATTTAAATCACTCATTAGTAAAGATTCTATAATATTTTTTACTTGTCAGTAGATTGTGAGCCTTTTCCCATGTTATTTGATAATTTTTTTGTTTTTTAAAATGTACAGCATATATTCCATAACATAGATAAAACATAATTCATGTAACCATTTCCCCATTGTTGACATTTTGGATTATTTTCAGTTTTTGCTGGTATATTAATACATAATGAAATCTTTGCATGTATCCATAATTATTTCCTTATGAAAAATTCTTAAAATTGCAGGATTAAAGAATATATTAATTTTTAAAGCTTTCCATATAATATTGTCATATTTCCCTCTAAAGGTTTGCTAGTTTATAGTCCCATTAATAGCATATATATAAATACTCCCCAATGTTCTCAATAACACTGGGTTTTTTTGGTTTTTTTTTTTAATTCATGCCAAGAAGAGAGGTAAAACTTTTCAGGTAATAGTTTTTTTAAATATAAGGAATATATGTTCATCATAGAAAACTTACGTTAAACAACCAACCAAAAGAAGCCTAAGGAAATCATAGTTAAATTAACCTAAAAGTGAGAAGAACAAGAGAGTGTATATTTCATCAAGCCCATTTGTAATTAGTGGGCCAGAGTTGCTGCTAGGGTACTTTTTTTATTTTGATCTTTCATGAATAAAGTATTTTAATTCCCAGAAATTCAGGTAACTAGTTTGATTTTGTGTAGTAGGGTCAGATATTTTACAGCTAGAGTGTATTTAAGTTTTTGATTTTTTGTAAAATAATGTTTTTTCATGTTAATGTAAATTTTTACAACTTTATTTTAGAAGTATTAGTATGTATTTTCACCTTGAAAAAAGGGAGCAATTATAATTATAAAGCAATTTTTATAAATGAATGCCAAACTTTAAAAAACCCAACTTTGTATGAATTGTTTCTACCAGTTCTCCTTAATATTGTTTTTGTTTAAAAATAGATGCTGTTAGGTTTTAACAGTTTATGTTACAGAAGACAGTAGTTTCTTTTCCTATATGGTAAATAAGGTAACTTTAATTTAGTCTTGTCTTTCCCTGAATCTGTCAGTGAGAAGAAAATACTGACTTTGAATTAATGGCAAGCTTGTGGCTATTTGTTTTTCACTGAACTGTAGATATACTCTTATGGGCTTTTGGGTTGCTATTTAGGTTAATTTCTCTTCCTTTATGTGATTGTTCTCTTCTAGTACTCCCTAATATTTTTCTTTTGGAATAAAATATCTGAGTTAGTTTTGTATTTTAAAGTTCTTTTTTCCCCCAAAGAACTTTTGCCTTTATGATCTTGTGTCTCTTCAAATTTATCTTGAAAAGGATACATGGGTGATTATATTGTTGCCATTTTTACAAATGGGAAGTTAAAGAATAAAGAGGATAGACAGACTGGATTACTTCAAATCTTGAAATGCTATGATTTGTCCAGTCATGCATTCACCATCTAACTAGGCATTTGTGCTTTTTCTCTAGAAGACTTTTGTCATTTTGAATAAAATATGTCTTCTACATTTACCTTAAGGAAGCTGACAACTTTCAGAGATTTTCAGTGGTAATGAGAAACTTAGGTTAAACTTAGGTTTAACTGTACACAAATAGAAAAGGCCTAGTCTTTTCCTGGACTTCTTTAATGCCAGTGGTCATCACGCTTTACCAGGGCTACAGTGCTCATCTTCTCATCTGCACGTGCACCCCCTCAGAAATCGTCAACTCCAACATCTCACCGTGACAAACACATTTTATCCTCCAAGTCTCTGCAGTATAACTAGCTTGTTTCTATTTTTCTTCTTATAACCTATCTTCCTACTCTAGCCAGCTTGGATCTCATAGCAGAGTAACTGACATACTTCCAATATTTGCCCTGGTCTTTCTGCTGTACTGCTACAAAATGCCAACCCAATCCACAGTCTACTGTTCCACTCCTATATCTGAGGAATAGAGAAAAAGTACCTATTCATACAGATTAGCGCTATTTTAAATTGATTATTTCATCTCATCTGAGTATTCAGACTTGCCTGATACATTATGCTTGCCTGTTTAGTTATCACTCTCATTCTCTTCAAAACTTTACCAAATCTTCTCACTCCCCCTCTTAACCTTGCTGTCTCTCCACCCAAAACAGAGATCCTTACATCCTACTTCATTGAGATATTTAACTTTTTGCTCTTTTCTACAAATTTACCTATAGAAGGAATACCCTTCTATACCCCTTTCCTATAGTTTTTAGAGGATGGGGTAGATCTCCTTTGAAGGCCACTGTATCCATCTAACACTTGTGTCTATCTTCATCTGCTGTATAACTATTTTACTCTTCAGTCATCCTGTATACTGGCTCTGTCTCTCTAGTTTATACTGGCTGTCTCTGTGTCAGTACTCATTTCCTCTTTAGCCTATTGACTTTGTTCCTCATAAGCTACTACACATGTTGTCAATAAGCACATCAATGAT